CAAGGTGGTGGCCATTAAATAGCTTAGTGAATCCATATACCGTATTTTTCCTACTCTGTACTGTGCGCCGTTACTATCGGACATATAACACAGATTTTCCCCTCGGTAGGATCATTCTCGTCAGTGAGAATTCACATGTTCTAAAAATCGCAGAGCGATTTTTACAAATTATTTTAATTTAATTTTAATGCTATACTTAGCATTATAAATTTACCCTTTCCCCTATTGAATTAAAATTCTTATTGCGAAAAATATTACCCCAACCAGGCTAATATAATTATTCAAATAGAGGTTTTTATCACAAAACATTTTGTTTTAAGTTAAAAGATTATAGATCAACTCTGTCGTTTTTAATTACCGGACAATGATTTTTTGCATAAAAAAAACTATTTTCTTTCTTTCAATGCAGATCATTAATTGTAATTTTGTAGTTTCAAATTAAAAATGTGAGAAATCTATTTTGCATTGCAGATGAATACGCTTAAGCATACATAAAATATAAGATGAAGCTGGATGTGCTCTAAATTACAGGGAATAATAATAGTTATCAGCTCTGATAGTCTGTCGTATCAATTCGATATGACATAAATGATTTAAGTTAAGTAAAATCTCTTTATCGCGACGTACCTACCGATTAAACCATTATTATTACTCTATCACTTCAATCACTGTTTCACTTGGCACAATTTTGAAATTCTCATTCCCTTATACATATAATACTACGTTTTACTACAGGAATTTAAACATCCCTTTCAAGGTATATTTAAATTTCTGCTGCTACGCTATCTCACACAAATTTATTTATAGTCTATTGAAATTCTTATTAATCCCACCCATTTCCTGTATTAAATCAGATGCATATAAATAAGAATTAATTGTAATATAATTACATTACATTAGCAAGTGCACATTCCATAATTTATGAAGCAATAAACATAATTCAGATGAATTATTGAGTGATTCCATTACTGTCTAGAATTCTATAAATTCTATAAATGCTTCGATAAATTATATAACAAGATGACAAGACACATCTATAATTATTTATTAATTATAATCTATTCGAAAAGGAACAAGGAATATAATATTATCTCTCTGACTGATTATGAATAGAACATAGCTATGTTATAAGTAAAATCTCCCTCCCCCCTCTCTCTCATACATACCTACAGTACAGTGCAATAATTCGATTTGGGTTATAATTAGGGATGGACAAAAATTAGTTGATTATTTAAACATAGATGCTTTTTGATAATACAACCCGAATTAAGGCAGGATACCACCTTTGACTGCAATTTTGTAGGCGTTTTTCATGAATTTTTTTTGCATACAAAGAGTGCGCAGAAACAAAATCAGTTTTAGTCATTCATTAATGTAACTTTAATCTGTAATTACAAACTGAAAAAGTAAAAAATAATCTCTTGTAGGTGGCGCCAAAATACATTCCTTTGGAGGAACACCGTTTTAGACGGTGTGTCAAATTCCGCTCTGTACGTGGCTCCTAGAAAAAAAACCAAAGAATGTTCCTATTAACAACAATATTTTTTAATGCTGTACGTAGGGATTTTACGAAATTTCGATTTTTAAGAAAATGGCAGTCATTTTAACAAAAAGGTCAATTTTTTAGGGTAAA